CTTCAGACCCTACCTCTTTCTGAGCTAGAGGAGGTATGGGCTGGGATCAAAGGAAAGGGGATGGATGGAACATTTTGTCTTTCTCCAAGCTGTTCAGACTGCTTTGTTTTAGACACCAAATTTGAACCACAACCACCCCCACTCAGCAGAACAGGCAGCATCATTTGAAGGATCCTCTAGTGTCTGTAAGATCTAAGTTTATAATCATTTCCTAGGGGATATTTAATAATCCATTTTTGTCCATGTCTTCGGGGCTAGAAATTTGTATCAATGCCAGAGTTCCTTCACGACCCTTTGAATTTCAATTCCACGTTCAATCCTATTCCAAGACTGGAAGATTCACCTGAACTGGAGGTGCCTCATTGTCATGGTAATTTGAAGGTCACGGCATTTCTTTTCCATTTGGTCTGTAACAGGATTTGCTAGGCAGACTCCTGCATCTGCTTCCAGTTGAGGTAAAATGTGAATCACACATGAAGAGATATAAAAAATATTCCAAGTTTCAAACCCTGTCCTTTGTAGACACATATTTTTCACAATCCTCTTACTTGAATAGTATCTCTCCCCTTGCAACAATGTTTTTACATATAGTAAAAATGGCAAGTTCTCCCTTACAGGTCCAAGAGGACTGTATGCATAAAAATAACTGTTAGATCATGGGCAAACTGTGGTTTCTCGAAAGCTTTTTGGCCAATTCTTTGGTTGTACTTACATGCATCTTTCAATTTAAAACTGACTACATTCCATGAGATAGGTACTGTCATCATCTCAATCTTATTAATGAGGAAACAAGAGCAGAGATGTAATGACATCACAGCGAGTGGCAAAAGCAAAACATAAACTCAGGCAATGATTCCCAAGAATGCTGAACAATTACTATAATCATGCTTTTGGGTATTCTGTAAGACTTTCTCCATGAACATGACATGAAGCACTCTGCTAAAGGTTAGTTATAATTAGAGAGAGCTATTCTCAACTATAAGCTATTCATCATCCAAACTCTTCCTATAAAAATGTTCCCCTTCTCATAAAAGAGGCTATATAGAATATATAGTGAGAAAAGGACCAATTTAGATGTCAAGTGATCTTAGATCTGGGTTCACCTCAGCTATATTTATATTTTGACATTGAGCAAGTCATGTTTTCTGGACTTCAGGTACCTGGTCTTTCTTAGCAAGTGTTTTTATATACACAAATTCTAATTACTCTGAGAATTACATTGCTAACACCCTCCTGCACAAAATACAATGGAATTTAACTGGAGTGAGGGAATAAAACCACCACACTATGAAGATGAGTCCAGCTGCAGTCACAAAAGAGCAGTTTCTTAACCTCCATCATTATTGCCAAATGTCCCATGGGAATGGAAGGGCATAGTAGCTCACCAAAGTAAATGGATTCCACATCTCTTCCTCTATTCTAAAAACATAGATGGCATTCCAGGGATGTTTTCAGAATCATTGACTGTTAAAAAAAAAAAATTCTGAAAGAAAAAGGGGATGGAATTTACTCTAGGTCTGGGGAGATAGAGTTAATTGGTTCTTGTCTATTAAAAAGTGAAGCCTCAAAAACCATCCTACCTCTAACATTCCTCTTCATACAAAGGGCCAAGAGACACATGAAAAAATGTTCAACATCACTCATCATCAGGGAAAAACAAATCAAAACCACCATAAGATACCACCTCACACTGGTCAGCATAGCTAAAATGAAAAGCTCAAGAAAAAAAACAGATGTTGGCGAGGGTAGAGAAAGGGGAACCCTCTTACACTATTGGTGGGAATGCAAACTGGTGCTGCCACACTGGATAGCAATATGGACTTTCCTCAAAATGTTAAAAATAGAACTCCCCTATGACCCAGGAATTGTACTACTAGGTATTTATCCAAAGGACACAGTGAGTCAAAGGGGCCCATTCACCCCAATGTTTATAGCAGCATTGTCCACAATAGCCAAAATATGGAAAAAGCCCAGACATCCATTGGCAGATGGATTATATACACATATATGTATATATGTACACACACACACACAAATGGACTATTACTCAGCCACCAAAAAGAATGAAATCTTGCCATTTACAATGATGTGGATGGAACTGGAAAATAGTATGCTCAGTGAAATAAGTCAATCAGAGAAAGTTCTATAGTTTCACTCGTATGTGTAATTTAAGAAAGAAAACAGATGAACACAGGGGAAAGGATGAAAAAATTAGATGAAAACAAGAGGGAGAACACCTGGGTGGCTCAGTTGTTTGAGCAACTGCCTTCGGCTCAGGTCACAATCCCAGAGTCCTGGGAGCAAGTCCCATTTAGGGCTCCTTGCTCAGTGGGGAGTCTGTGTCTCCCTCTGACCCTCTCCCCTCTCGTTTTCTCTCTCGCTCACTCACTCTCTCTGAAATAAAATCTTTAAAAAAAAAAAAAAAACACCTGAGTGGCTCAGTGGGTTAAGTCTCTGCCTTGGGCTCAGGTCATGATCTCAGGGTCCTGGGATCGAGCCATCTGCTTGGCGGGGAGACTTCTTCCCCCCCCTCTCTCTCTGCCTATTTGTCATCTATCAAATAAATAAATAAAAAAAAAGAAAACAGAGAGGGAGGCATATCATAAGAGACTATAGGAAACAAACTGAGGGTTGCTGGAGGGGAGGTTGCTGGTGGGGGGGATGGGGTAATTGGGTGATGGGCATTAAGGAGAGCATGTGATGTAATGAGCACTGGGTGTTGTATGCAACTGATGAATCACTAAATTCTACCTCTGAAACTAGTCATACAGTGTATGTTAATTAAATTGAATTTAATTTATTTTTTAAATTACCTTTATCCAAGATAAAGGTAATGCATACCTAAGTACGCATCAATAGAAAATTGGTAAGGAAGATGTGGTACATGTATACAATGGAATATTGTGCAGCAATAAAAACGATATCTTGCTATTTATGGACTGAGGGTATTATGCAAGTGAAATAAACTGAGAAAAACAAATACCATATGAATTCAGTCATGTAGAATTTAAAAAAAAAATGAATAAACAAAAAGTGGAACCAGACCTATAGAGAACGAACTGATGGTGGCCATAGGGTAGGAGGGTACAAGGATGGGAAAAATAGGTTAAAGTAATTGGGAGATACAGGCTTCATTATGGAATAAGTAAATCAGAGGAGTAGGGAATTAAATAGTATTGTTATAGCATTGTATGGTGATAGATGTTAGCTACACTTGCGTTGAGTGTATGTAGAGAAGTTGATCACTATGTTGTACACCTGAAACTAATGTAACATTGTGGGTCAACTATACTCATATTCTTTTTTTTTTTTTAAATCACCTTTATCAAGTCAAGGGAAGCAATATAGTTAAGAGTTTAAAGGTATGAGACCTGTCCACAGGTTTCCCCATTTACCATATAATTATCATGATGCTCCATCATTTGGCATAATTCCTAAGCATGGTCAAGATCCTTCAATTTGTATTCCTGGCCCTCTTCATTTTTTTGTTAAGTTGCACCTATAACTAGCAGTTTGTATGCCTAATCACTGTGAACAGAATGGCTGGCTCAATTTTAGACCCAACTTAAATTACAAAATTTTCAATTTAAAATGGTAGAAGGTTGGCAATGTCTACTAGTCCCAGTAACATTACCTGAAGAAATAATCCCAGAAATACATATGGAAAACTTCTCATAACAAGGGTAAAAGAGTAAACCAACAGGAGGCACAAATTAATCTGTAGGTGTGGCTTTGGCCTAGAACAAAATATGACTAGGAACACACAGTGATCGCCCCATCCTTATCCCACAGAAAATACAAAAGCTGGAAAATACTATTATCTGCTTTGACACTTTCTAAATATTCCTGCTGCCCCTTTGAAACTGTCACATCCGACCTTTCCTCATTAAGCAGAAGACTTGGTGCTTCTCACTTCCTCTCCATCAGAGGACTGAAACTGAGATTTTTGAGCAGCAATGGTATCACAAACCCAGGAGTAAGCAGAGCAAAATCACAAGCAGACTGTTAAGTCAGCCCACGAGGCAATCAAGGCTGTCAATGGAGTCAGACCCTCATTAGATAGCCAAAAATTACCTCAGCAAGAACTCTTTCTAATCTCCCCACTTTTCTCCCACCAACGTATCCCTGTCCCACACACCTAGCCTAGCAGGGAAATGAAAATAAACAGCAAGGGTTAACTAGGTCCATTCCCTTTCAGAAGCAACACATCATGATAAGAGTCAATTTTACCACCTGACACCCTATTCATTTATAACACGGTTATGAGTTCTCCAGGTATCTGTCATAAATACATGTACTGAAGTCACTTAGGCCATGACGACTTAAAAAGACTTTATCTTCAAAGACAATATTTTGTCAGTTTGTCAAAAAGGAGTATAAACTCTTACCTATAAGCACTACAAGGAGTCACCAATCTATATTTGGGTACTTAGCCATTCAGAATTCTAGGATTACCAAAGATCCATTCACCCAGTCAGGATTCTTTAATTATATAATGTGACTTCCTGCCTGAATACATCCTACTTCCCACGTCCTTACAAAAAAGTTTTGTTATGCCTTACTCCTACACCACCCCCATACCTCAATAGTTTTTTGCTTTTTTTTTTTTTTTTTTTAGATTTTATTTATTCGCTTGACAGAGAGCGACAGGGCGAGAGAGGGGACACAAGTAGGGGGAATGGGAGAGGGAGAAGCAAGCTTCCCACCAAGAAGGGAGCCCAGTGTGGAGCTCAATCCCAGGACCCCGGGATCATGGCCTGAGCCAAAGGCAGACGCTTAATGACTGAGCTACCCAGGCACACTGCTTCTCACTTTTTTCTGCTGGGTTTGTACTTCTCAGTATCCCTGGCCAAAATCACTGAAGAATAAAGAAATGAGACCTCAAACCATTTATCCATGGTGGATGATTAAGGTAATTTAAAAGAGAGAGAGAGAGAGAGAGAGAGAAATTACTAGTGTACCTAAGAATACTGAGGTAGAACTTGTCACATCAAAATACAAAGCTTTCAAAACAGTACATTTTATTTGACATTAGACAACATTCCCCAATTTCTCTCAGCTGTGACATGTAGATGGCTTTACATTGTTTTTGTGGTCACCCATGATGAGCAAGGTTTTTCAATCTTCAAAACACTCAAAATTCAAAGATACTGCATTTCACATTAGTTCACAAGTCCAAGTGTATCTTCCCATTTATCAGAATATTTGGCATAGATTCCCTTTTTGGTAGAAAGGTAGAGATGAGGCTATTTCTTTAAAGACGGCTTTGTTCACAATTTCATTTATGCCATAAAAATCAGATGACGGCATGTTCTTATTCTTATCAGTAGTAGTCTTAGGATGCCAGAAACTGTGAAAGGAAGGCTTTTAGTTACTTTCTCCTTTCCAATTTCCAATAATGTAATCCCCGACCCCAACCTGAAAATAGGAGCATTACAGAATCCAGCTGGCACCACATATTAAAAGCCAAATGTTAGAATTTAGTTGATAAATATATAGTCCAAAATTGTTTCTCAAAAACTTATAGAAGTGAGTGGTAACAAACTGTGTCCTCATTTCAACAATGATCAGTTATTGGAATTGAATTAAACTAAAAAAAAGCAATCCCCTAGTTAGACTTGGAGGTAATGTTCTTAAAACCAATCCAAAACACAAGCAGGCTGCCCTTCAAAATGCTTTGACCTTCTCTTTCACTCTTCCTCCTAATCCCACCCTCTTGTGAGTGATTTAAAGATAGAAAAGGTCAAAGCCCAGTTGGGCACTAGAATGAGGATTTTTTTTTTAATCATTTACCTCCAGTTTTTGCCAATTACTTCCAATTTCTATTATTTTTAGAATTAAAACATGCTAAAATTAAGCTACTTTTATTCACTGACATAATTCCACTATAAGAGATCCTTTCTTCAACATGTTTTGATGGTGAGATTTCTAAAGGTTAAGTTGCAAACCTGTTGCAAAAGAAAAATCATGTCTCTCCCATTATGTTATATACCATCTGAAGATTGTTCTTCAAAGAGATCTATTTAGGTAGAGTATATCTATCAGAAAGCAGGTAAAATTGATAAATGCATTTCAAAACCTACTGTGGCCTGAGTATGAGTGTTTCCCCAAGGCTGGTATCAATGAGACTGGGGTTTGGGAATTAGTTGTTTTTCATCCCTCCTTCTGCCTAGCAGTGGTCACAGCCATTTCTCCTGAAATGTGGGCCAGGGAAAATAAAGTGTCTACTATAAGGGAACTTCCTCCCACTTAATGAACTAGCTCAATAGAAAACCCTGCTTATTGTAGTGGCCAGAATGGTAGAAGTACAGAACAAGAATTAAAACCCACATTATTAAGGGTCTAGCCATGCCCCTAACCAGAAAACAGTCCGAAAGGAAAGTTTTAAAAGTCCTCTAAGAAAACATTCATTTTTTTCATGTCTCTGGGGAGAACTGGAAACACAAAAAACCTTATATATAACAGGCACTCAAATACACTTGTAGAATGAATAAATGAATGAACAGTAACTTCTTATATTCTAGTCTCCAAGGTAATAAAAAAATCAAGTTTCTTTCAGTCATGATCTTTTTCGTATTCTGTCTAGCAATTAACAGAATACCTTGAAAAAGACACTTCCATTTAAGGAAGAATTTCATTCCAATTTTTGTTTTGTTTTGTTTTACTGCATCCCCAAGATAAACTAAATGCATTTTATATCAGATCTGCTCCAATTTAACATCACTTTCAGTGTTAGTATGAATGGATACAAAGTCCCCTCTTATTCCCACTCTACAAAACATGCCAAAGAGAAGGTGGCCATTTGTTCTCAGTGTCTTAATATCACAGCTGCTCAATAATATTTTTCAAGTAATTAAAGAACTGCAGTCTCATTAAATTTGCTCTTGTGTTTCCACCATAGACTAGTGAGATTAAATTACATTTTGGCCTAGGACTTTTTAATTTCTTAATTCTCAGCATTTGAGAACATACTTTATTCTGGGTAAATAAATTTTTGCACAAAATATAGAAAATGTAGGAAAAAATCTATTGCTTCCTGACTCTAAGCCAGGTCAGTGAGCAAATATTTTTAAAACCAGTAATTTCATCTCAATTCTCATCTTAAATCATTCATCTATAATAAAAACAGATATGAAAGTAATGAATTAAAAGACAAGCCCTAAGCACCCTTGTATCAGCCTTCTGGATTTAAACTAATTCAATGAGCAAGTGATACTGGGACGTTCTAGAACTAGGAATAATTCTTCATTTAATATTAAGAGAACCATGTCTTATTTTTCTATTTTTTTCATATCTAAGGCATGTCAATGTGCATTTTCTGGGAGACCCACTCAACTAATTTATCTAGCATAATATGTTCCAGAAAACAGGCACTCAAATATTTGCTCAAAACTCAGTATTTTCTTATCTTCATCAATAGGTATTCTAATGCCCTTTAGACTTTAGACTTGGCCCATTTCACTTCTCTTAAGACCTACAATGATATATTATTCCACATGAAAGATGCTCTATTTATCAAATGAATCTAAAAGCAAGGCCATTTGATTTTACTCCTGAGCCATTTATTTTTTACTCCTTTAATGACTCAAGCCAGGCCAGGATAGATTGAATTCATCTCCGCATTCAGCATTCAGCATTTTAAAGACTGATAGAGAACTGTTAACACCTTGCTTCTTAAAAATATTTTCCATCTCTTCAGCCAGGCCAGGGAGCAAGTACACCTCTGATTCAGATTTTATCTTTCCACAGAGGTCAGTATTTAGCCTACTTCCTGGCACAATTCTATTTTCCCCATGTTTTTATTAAATAAGCTTTGCAGTGCTTAAGTAACTTCTAGTCTGGATCTCCCACCTACTTCCTTATTTCCTCCAATGAACACCCCATAAGAATAAAATCATTTTCATATCCTAGGGGATGCACAGTTCAGAGCCTCACAGAAAGTAACCAGTAATCATTCATTAAACCAAGTTATTTCCTTTTATCTATATAGAACAGTAGGCTGTGTAAATTTGAACAGATCTCTGATAATGAACTTTTATATCCCCACTTGTTATCTCTGGGGATAAAAGAAAATAATCAATGTTCACACAGCAGATATTGTTTTTATATGTATGGCAGTACAAAACTTATAAATTGATTTATGTTATCTGCTGCTACCCAGGACACAATAAAGATGATTTATCTTCACATCTCCAATGACAAGCAAGGTGAGTGGCACATAATAGACAATTATTACCCAGTTTTTCATTTATCAGATATTTAATCCTTTGTATATTATATTGTGTTGAATAGTTAACAATTTTTCCTCAAAAATTTTTCAACTTTCTTCATAGTATAATGATGACTGTGATATAATTTTATAATCCTAGTACTCAGCACCAAATTAGAAAATAAGTAGTTACACTTATATGGTGCTTTAGAGTTCCTAAAATACTACATATGTATTGCCGTATGCTCACCTGCAAGGACAATGAAATGATAAGTCTGTGTATCTCTTTACTGCCTGTAATATTTTTACCTAGTAAGCATCTGATGATATTCATTCATTCAACAAGTATTTAAGCCCTCAGTTTGTATAGCTATTTATACAACCTTCATCACAGTCAAGCACACAATGAGAATATTGTAGAGAAAATGCCTATCTCATAGAAAGTTTTATTTACACAGAAACAGCTAATGTCTTGGATTTATATAGCACTTTAAAAAGTGCAAAGGCAATCTCAATCATTACATTTTCCTTTCACCTGGGAAAATATACTGGTGATTATTTAATTTGACATGACCAGTAAAGTCTTGATTAAAACAAGCAATATCTAATTCCTTACATCTAAATAGTCTAGGACATAAACCTCTTTCTTATTACATGAGAGCATTATCTTAGATTTCACAGTACCCAAACAGTACTGGCCCATAAAAGGCAATTAATATTCATCCACTCATAAACATGTAACCCACTGGTATTTATATAATGCTTTAGTTTATAAGGCACTTTAATATGCACCTCACAATCTGAAACTTCTAATTCCATGATGAGAACACTTCTTTTCTCTTTGAAAATGGTATGGTAAAGTGCTCACAACAGTTTAATACCCTGTGTTTGCAGTATATTTTATGGTTTCAAAGCAGTTTCCATGCATTTGCTTCTCTGCCACCTGGAATACTGTATTTTTGCTTAAAATTACCAGAGTAGCAGAAACACAATAGCCACAAATATAGGAGTTATTCATTTATCAAACAATTCCTAATATCTGCATGGTATTACATACTACTAACAAAGTACTTTATTCAGGCTTCTTTTAATCTTTGTATCTATAGTGTCTAGTACAGTAGAATGTAGATACTATGTAATCAATATTCATCCATCAACTCTGAAACTCTTTAATCTTTAAATGTTTTATAGTTTATAAATCACATTCATGTATTTTTCTTCAAGTCACCTGGATGTAATCATGAATAAATATTGCATCCTGAGTGCACAGGGACCGAATCACAGAAATGATTTTATTATTCAGCATATAGTCCCCGGTACTTACACTGGGGTGATAAAAACTATGGCCCACCAGACCAAATCTACTTGGTTCACAAGCTAAGAATAGTTTTTCCTTTTTAAAGAGTTGTAAAAGAAAAACATGTGTCAGAGACCATATGGTCCATGAAACCTTAAGTATTTACCATCTGACCCTTTATGTGCAGTGTGATAACTCCTGATTTACATAATGCTTAACAACTGACAGAGCACTTTAAATGTTAGCTGTGCATGACTGCCAATATACTATTAATGAGAATGCCTTCTTTTTTCTGTGCTTTACAGTGCTTTCACATATATTCTCAGTTATTTAAATTATGGTAAGGGGGGGGAATCAAGGTAGGATTAAACCTGCTAAATATTTCCAAGTTCTCTCACCTTTAAGCTTAGAAGTGGGTATTAAATCCAGGAGCAGTGTTGGCACAATCTACCAAAATATTGGGCCACTACTATAAGCAGGGGGTTCAAAGTGTCTCCTTGGGGCCTCACTCCATATCAGACCCAGTCATTCATTTTGTAACCATTACTAGGAATCCCAAACCCCAAGAATCCTGCTCACCCAAGCTCAAAGAAGAAAGGTGTTGCAGGTTGGTGCTTCTCAACAGTATGGCACATCTGTGTATTTCTTGTCTAATTCTTCTCATTGGCCTGGAACATCTCTTCACATTTCCTCTAGATAGTCTGGGACGTTTTCCCCCAACAGCCTGATGCTTGCCTTTGCTCATCAGGCTAGAGCTTCTAAGGAAAAGGGAGGACCGAAATACAATGTTGCCTATAATGCATCTCTCAAGGAGTGGAGGTGAAGAGAAATGGAAATTTAAAAAATAAACACTTAATAGCTCAAAACTGTGATAAAAACTGGCTTAAGACTGGCCCGAGCATAATATTGCCAATCTAAAGGTAATCTTAAGGTAACAACAACATCAAAAAGGGCTCCTCAAAAGAAGTGAACTTAAATAAAAGCATAAGAACTGGAAAGGGAGAACTAAAAATGTCCAAGGGTAGACAGGATAGCAATAGAAAAAAAGATGGGGTTTAGTGTTCTCATCTTTAGATATCCTTTGGTCTTGGGGCTTCTATCCTTCCCAAATTCTGTGTCATAGGCTTCTAGCTTCCCACCTAATTTAGTCTTGAGACATGGTTCTCTCTTTGGCCTTCTGTCCATCTAGATAAGCAGGAATCCCAGGTCTTTATGTGTGTCTAGGGCTTTCCATCCTTGGATCTTAGGTTTTTATCTGAAGTCTTAGACCTTGTGTCTTAGGTCTCAGGTCTTCCATGGGTCCCCACACTCTCCCACTCTGGGTCTTTGGACTTCTATCTAACTCAAGACTTGAACTTTCCATCCAACTCAGTCAGGTGTTCTATCCAACAAAAGCCGCCTTTTTACATCATAGCTGTCAGGGCTTTGATGGCCTCAAGCCTGAGGATTCCATCTATCTTGGAACGCAGGTTTTTCCATGTCTGTCTTCAGGTTTCAAGTCTCAAACCATTTGTTTTTTTACTTTGGGCCTTCTATCCATTATAGGCCTTCCACCTTCTGTCCATCATAGGTCTTGGATCATCCATCTCACAGGGTGTCCTGGCATAATGAACAGCTCTGCAATGCTTATTTTGATAGCTGCACTCTGTACCTATTGGGAAGGGGTTAGGAAACCCCTTTGTCACAAACACACACACATGACCACACAGATGCACAAAATATGCAAGGAGAGAGGATGGCATAAAGTCAAAGAGGGGGGAACACAGACATATAAAGAGGCTGATAACACTCAAAGGTAAGCAGAAGAGGGAAATCAGAGAAGAAACAAGAGAACAGAGATGAATGTTGAAATGGAAAATCACAAAGAACAAAGATGAATGCTGAAATGGAAAATCACAAAGAACAAAGAGACATTTAGACAGCAAGAAAGAAAGAGAAAATGGCCCAACAGAGATAGAAAAAATATACAGAAAAGAGAAATGTGAGATAATAGTAGAAAAAGCAGGAGGAAAGCCAGAATGAGAAAAAGGTGAAATGTCAAACCAACAACAACAAGGGGAAGGGAAGACCAACAATCAGAGTTCACAACAGTAAAAGACAGGTATAGGCAGGACAAGTAATGAACAAAAAGGACACAAGCATGCAACACAGACCAAAAGGGAAGAACATAGAAAGAAGAGCCAGATCTAAGAGAGCAAAGAGAATCAGAAACAAATTGAAAAAACAAAACGAAACAAAACTAGAGAGAGACCTCTAAGACAAGACACAGACCACTCTTAGGAACAAAAACCAGAATGAGACAAAGATACACAGAGAAGAAACCAGCAAGAGAATCATGGGATGGCTGAGACACATTTTAGATAAAGACAACCAAAGAGATTCAAGAATGAAAGAGACAAGCAAAGAAATACACACTTAGGAGTGAAAAAGATAAGCAAAGGCAGACATTCAGAGGAAAAGGGTAAGAAGTAAAGACAAGATACAGTAAGGGGCACAAACGGCATATGTGAAGCATCACAAAAAGGAAACAAGAAAAGAAAACCAAAAAGTACATTAATAATTAAAATATACTATTAGTACTAATACTACTTATATTACTAATAGTAATAATTATAAGAACCACCACTAACTTAAATGTTTTTTATTTATAAACTTATACCTTACAAATTTCTTACATAGAACCAAAACATGCCAACTCTGCCTACCATTAGATGGTATTTGTGGCCACCTGTATTATGTCATATCAACTTATAAAACTTCTTAGTTTACTTTTAACTTATCATGGACCAAACTGCACTAAACACTTTACATACATGATTTCATTTACTGTCACCTACAAGTCTAACCAAAAACTCTAAATTGACAAAGACCATACACCTGATGAGTGGCAGAAGATTTAAATACAGAATGTGAACCTTTCAATATTCTGCTTCAACTGTTTACAATGATTTCCAAAAGAGCCAAACAAGATGCCACAGATGTATGAATATTATAATAAAGGGCCCTTAGAGAGCACCTAGTCAATCCCCTCACTTTATATCTTTACTTTTCCCCATTCCTTAAAAAATGAACTTCATTTTCACATGCTTCACAACTATAATGCAACTTCATGGACTGGGCTTCCTTTAACACTAAATCTGCAGATATTCTTTCACAAGAGGTGAGAAAGATCCACCCTTTCAACAAAAAGAAAAAAAACCCTCTTTATGTTTTGGGCTTCTACAGTTTAGGCCTCTAAGAGTGGCAAAACATTTACACAGTGAAGATAAAGAGACAAGGTGAAACTCAATTACTTGGACACAACTGATAGGCAAACTGTAATATCTTTGAATTGCTTCAGTGAACCCAGTTGGTAATACAGGTTACTGGTTATCCTCAGATCTCACCATGCACACCCCTGCGTGTTAGACCATCATGCTTCACCCCATACAAACCTACAACAAATAAACTCATAGCTAAAATGATCCTCACAGGATTACCACACCAACAACTTACTTCATTCTGCTGTTCTAAAATGCTAGTGTGCCAGGCATGTTGATCTTCCTTCAGTATGTTCCACTTTCTTGCGCTTTGCACTGTTTTGGGAAGACAGTGATTTGGCAGAAAAGAGAACAATCAAGACCTATAAAAAATGAGAGGGGAAACCATGTAAATGCCATATAGAAGTATTAACTGAGTAATGTGCAAGAGTTATGGGAAGATACAAATTTACGAGCTATGGAAACTATCTCTATGAAGCTTAAAAATAAATACATAAAGCTGAAGCCTTTAAGTCCCTAGAGATAAAACTAACACAAGGTTTTTGTTCAAAAGAATAGGAAACTATGGCAAACATAGAAACACCATCAATCACAGTCTTAGTCTTCTGGTTGAATAATCTGTACAAAATC